GTTTACTGAGATAAACGTCGGAGCTGAAGTCTAGCCCTCGGAGGTGTCACGGTCTGACAGTTGGTGCTGGTCTGGTGTGCACTTAAAGAACAAGTGCTAAATTTACTAATCTTCTTTTCCTCCTTTTTCTTAAAGCTTAAACCTTTTATTACCTTTTATTCTCTTATTTACTTAAAACTTAGTAAGTAGTGAGCCGGTGAATCGCAACACCTGAAATTTACTGTTTTATGTCAACTCTGAGTGGAATTTTATGCCGTTATTATAACTTGTGTCATTTATCCATATAATAATTTTAGTAAATATTTGTATGTTTATTCTGTTCATGTGTCTAAAATAAATTACTTTATTTTGAGAAACCTGACAGGTCACAAGTTTTCATTTTTCACTTCATTGTCAGAGGGGTATTTCATTAAAGTCTGATTTCATTTTTTGCAAGGTCTTGCTGGATTATCTTTATGAAAATAGGCTGGTCCTAATTTCATGGAGTAATTCCTACACTCTGCTGCTACAGCCAGCGGGGTCTGGTTCTGGATCTGGTCCTGGTTCAACTTCGTTGTGGTTTCTGTGTTGTGGGCCTGACAGAGTGGGTGGGCAACTTCTCCTCCTCCTCCTCTTCATCTTCCCCTGGAGATGAAATCAGCTTGTATAATGTGGTGCAGTTTGCCTCTGTTACGATTATAATATTGTACATATTCCATGTCAAATAAACAAATAAAGAAACAAACAAAGAACTAGCCTCTGAGTTTGAATCGTCCACCGGTGCATCGTCTTCCTCCTCTTCTTCAAGCTCAGTATTTCACAGCTTCCTCCACAGTCATGTAACGACGACTCATTTTGACACACAGACTAACAACACTACTACAAACCCTGCACACACTAACACACGTCTGGTCTAAAAACTCACCCGCTACTAGCTAAATCCAAAATACCAAAATCAATCCATCCTTGGTCCGTCTCCAAAACTCTGCAGCCCAGCCAGAACCTAGCTGTCCACAAGCCCACAGACAAACTGTTTTCAATGGTTGTTTCTGAAATGTGGTGTGTTTGAGGAAATGGGAAAAATAGTTTTCATGGTGCAAGCACTTCCTGGTCACAAAACGTTCTCTGAATGCGCACCAAATGCGCAAAAATGCACACAACATTATGGCAAAAATTATTCATCATTAAATCTGGTTTTATTTGGAAGTACCTAAAAAAACCTACTATATAAAAACATTACTTTTTTAAAGTTAGAAGTCCGTGCTGTCCAACCCAGGTCAAATGAACACTGTATGCTGCCATTTTTTTGCAGTAGCAATTTAAATGCGTCACGTCTTTGCCTGCTCCAGAGCGAGCGTCGACCTTAGAGGGTTAAAACTCTTTCAAGTGTAAAAGAGTGACCAAATTGGCCTTTAAATTAATTGGTCAGAAATGAGTTTTATGGAAAGTTTATGAATAAATTTCTACAGTGGCCACTGCAGCTCTTTGAATGTGCACTCAGGAAATGTTATGTTGGATTCGCTCTTTCTATCTATACACAAATTAAGTTTCTGGTGGATCAGAGGAGGACACAGTCATGTTATTGATGTTATTTGTAAGGATGGCTGTCATGATCCTGTATTGTAGGTTCAAATGTAGCACAGGAGCTTTGTTTTCCAAGGACTGAGATGTTTACTCAGTACTCCTCTGAAAGAAACCACCACAGTCTGTGTTTGGTTAGTTTTTCTTCCTCCAAATTGAAACAACTTGAACAGGTTTGTTTCTTGGCAACATTATTTTGTCTTTCCTTTAAATTCACTGGAGCCAGAACACTTGGAAACATTGGTTTTACATAGATCAGCTGGTGTTCACACTGTAAACCATCCAGGATACAATATCTGACAACAAAAACAACCTTAACCACTTATCTGACTGTTTAACTCAAGTAGTCTGAATATATATTTAATGTTTCCACTATAGCTCAGACCCCAAAAGTTCTTTCATAACAGAACCACAGAGTAAAATAAAACAAGTATTCATCTGTTTCCACTGTCTCGCAGCTCTCGTGAACTAAACTGTGCGTATAATCTAATGGTTGTTGAGAATTAAATGCTCGCTTATGCCAAGTCAGCAGATCTGTAGCTGCAGGGCGGTGCTTCTTGTTTGAAAGCTGCGAGGAGAACTCCAAGAAGTTGGTACAGTAATGAGCTCTGGACACGCCAGCTGAAAAGTTTGCTATTCTGGCGGTTTAGTGGCACGRATTTATTTTTCTCCACATAGTTTGAATGTTTTCTGCAGTTCTGTGGATATATGTCCTCTAAACTAATGTCTTAAAATAGAAATGTTTTTCAAAACCTAGTGTTGGTTGGGTTTGTCAGGGTTTCAAATTTTTATCTTTTTTGTTTCTCAACATGAAATCATTGTAGTTTGTTGGAAATATCTACACCACACTGCAAACGTTAACATCTGTAAATAAAAACAAAACATTTGAAGCACTTGTTCTGCTGCTGTATTTAAAAGAAACACCCCAATTTGAAGAACTTCATGAAGTTTTATTTTATAAATGTTTATATGGTTAATATACCCAGTTTTAGTAAGTTGAAAATGGCTCTGATGCCATCTTTAAACACCAGTTTTTGTCCTCGCCTCAAAAACGAGGATCGAACTGATTTAATATGATCACTTAGGTCAGGTCAAAAAGCTGATTCTGTCATTTCTTTCTTGGCAAACTTCTACAAAAATATGATCAACTTCTACTAATTTCTTGTGTCGTCGGTGCTGATTGTGTCTTTTTTGCCTCATCAAATTTGCAGTTTGACTTGAGTCCAGCTTCTCTTACACTCGAAGTCAATACCAAATAATTTATGACCTCCTGACATTCCTGTCAGATTCAGCTGTTTTTAAATGAAAAAAAAAAAAGGACAGGATTTATCACAAATGACTGCAGCTGAACGTAACCTTACAAAGATTCGCTTTGTGGACTTCAGAACAAACTGAGACTTTAACAGGAGTTAAAACGTTTCTGTTCTTATTTTTATTAAGTAAATTGTGTTTTGTGTTCATTTACAGGTGAAGCAGACACAACAATCCAGGAAATCAGCTGTAAGCTGCACTTGAACAAGCTTTGAACTTGAAACATCAAGCCACATTCATCTGAAATGAATTCAAGTTCATGGTTTGCTTATTAAATTAGATTAGATTAGATTAGATTAGATAGACCTTTATTGTCATTGTACAGAGCACAATGAAATTACAGAACACCCATTCAGAAGAAGACTGAACAGAACAAACATAGAACAGGTGCTCTGGGTCATGCAGCCACAGACCCTGCACAGAGCAAGGATCATCTTCATGAAGACACCATGAGGAGGTGTAACCCTTAAAAAAACTAAAAACTACACAAGGACAGATGAGGAAAAACAAAACAAAACATCAGATTATATCAACAATGTGACACACTGGTGTTTATAAAAAAAACTCTGCATAGAGCACATTTATTAGTCAGAGGAGTAAGTGAGTTTAGGGAGGCGTGTATCTGAAGCCATGAGTGTTGTATGCACTTGTGTGAATATCTGAAGAATGAACCCGAAGAATTTAGTCCCCAGAACCAGAGCAGCCATTGTTCAGAATATTGATGTTAACTGTTCATTCTGTGCGGCCCTCAGCTTGCACCATGAACCAGATCACAGACGGAAGTGAGAGTGGAGGAGGTGTGGGGCAGAGCCTTAGTCGACGTAAACATTCAGGAGAATTTAGTTCCACAGCTCTTCGAGACCATGTAGGAGAGCCAGATTCTGTAATCAGTTGTTTGGGAACAGAAGAAACTGTTTTCAGCCAGGCAGACAATAATTTTCCATCAGCCACATCTCAAGGTGGCGAATCCAATCAGACAAAAAGTGTGGACAATTTCGCCACGCCGAGCTATCAATTTCTCCAAGATCAATTCCATCTCACCGGCAAAGTCCAGGAACCACAGCTGGCCCGCAACCCTCAGCAGAACCGCTTGTGGACCGAGTCCAGCTCTCTCAAAGGCTAAAGTCTGAGTGCTGATAGAACGGCAATCCTTCATACTGGTCAGTCAGCCAGGAAATGAACAGCCACCAACGCTGTTTTGCAGAACACCAGGAGACCACCCAGCCAATCTGTAGAATCCAGTGATCAGAATCCAGATATATATCCAGAACAGAGAAGAACAGAGGTCCCACCTTTAAAATGTCATCCCATGGAAGAAAACTTTGTTCCAAAAATTTATTAAGAGACCAGCTAACCAAATCCATAAAAATAAAAATATCTATAATTTCTGGTTTCGGATGAAAATGTAGAGAAGGCTCCAAGCAGCAAAGCAGGGAAGATAAAGAAGGACAGAAGAGAGGGAAAGAGCATCTTACTCCTCTGAGAGTGGAACAAAAAAATCAAAAAATATTTTTTTTAAATAATCACTAAAAAGCTGCTGTCTTAAAGCAGAGAGAGAGAGAGAGAGAGA